CTTCTGGTTACATTCAGGAAAAACAACTCCCCACCCCCCACCAAATTGTGGAATAGGTGAATTTAAAGAAAGAACATTTCTATCCAGATAAGGAAAATGCATGGAAAATCATACTTGGCCCAATAATACTCCAACATCTTCTTTCAGGAAAGTTAAACATTATAAAATGAACTGGTGACTTCAGTATCTTGAAGTCAGGCTTGGGAAACAAAACTAAATACATTTGTGAGAAAACACACATCCAAACAAAAGGGCAGTTGTTACAACATCATGAGTGACATGAACAAAACGATCAACATCCTCCCAAGGGACAGGATAAATATCAAACGTGCTAATAAGTGGAGACGGTCCCCTCATGACAAAAGGTGTGGTGTGTGTACAGTTACCACATAAGAACAAAATCATGGCACTTAAACAGTGGCAGCACTGTTAGTTACATGTGATATTTGAAAAATATGACAACCATCTCAATCTACTCAAGTAGCACTCATGGTAAGGGTGAAATTTCATCAACATTGGTTAACTTCTGGGGTATTAAAAAGCCAGCAAGGAGATAAATTGATGGATTAAAAGATAAACTACTCACAGGCAGACAAACACAAGGACAGATAGAGTTACAAACAAACGTGTACTTTACTCAGATAGAAAGATAATAACCAGGCCCAAGAAGTGAGGTGACTGCTAGGAAAGCCTTGAACGTAGAATTTTCTGACTTTGTCTTTAATTTAGTTCTTATAACTTTCTTAAAGTCTCTGTGATAAAGTTATATGTCTGTTAAATGAAGCTAATAATATTTTCATATCGTTTTTTGAGGATAAAAGACCCATGAAACATTTAGAAAGGTCCTCCATTCATGCCCTCTATTCATTGGAGCTACTTGACATGATATCAATCTCTTCAGACAGATACACAGCGTATATGTCAAACTGTGAAGCATCCAAATGCTTTACCAATGGACCTTAATGTGCTCTATGCTGTAAAGAATAAGTGCTTATCTTTCTTGGAGTAATTTAAACATCGGAGGAAGGCACCTCCTAGGTCCTTTCTAATTCTTTATTCTTTTGAATCTCAATTTCTCTTCCCTGTTGAGGAAGAAGATACTGTGAGACCCACAGGATAGAGATGAAAAATAAGAGTGTGTGTCCTCAAATTTTTCTTTCAAAAATACCACGGCATTTACGGGAGATAGTCTGGATTTCTGTGACAGAATGAGTTGAGATCCTGCTTGAAAGGAACTCACATGCCACTTTCCTTGATATGAACTTACTCTTCATGCTTCTTTATTCTACACACATCCCAAAGGAATGAGACCTCCATTGCCAGAAAATAGGAAACTGAATTGATTCTTCCCTTTTTTTTCCTTATATAAAATTGGGACTCCATGCATACACTTATATGTATGCATATCTCCCTTCTGGAAAAGGCCACATGGAACCAATGGTGGCTCATTTTTGACAAAGAGACAAATCTGAATTGGGAATAACCTTTGGGGTCAGTAACAGGCCTGAGGTGATGAAATGGTCCTGGTGGAAGGTTCCCTGGCATCCTCTCCTGGCTAATGTTCTACCAGCAACTGGTCCAGTGTTGTTCCCACAGATAGTGTCCTTTGGATTGTTATTTCTCCCCTTCATTTGTCTCCTGACACCCCTCCATTCAAGCTTTCTTCTTCAACACAGGAAGTCATCTCATTTAAAATTTCAAATGACTTGACTACAGTAATAGAGCTCTTAGGATACAAACCAGAGGCAGGTAAAGATAGGTAGAAATCCACTTCTCCTTTGAGCCTGGCACAGTTTAGCACATTAACCAGATTCCTAACAGGTTTTTCTAGATGTCACTCCCCACCCCACTTGCATGCTGTTCTTATTCTTATTACATCATGGATGCTCTTATTACTCAATCCTTACATTCATCTCTCTTTGGTTCTGGGATAAAACTACTCAAACCTTAATTTAGATATTTTATACTCCCTTGGAACCTCTGGGGAAAGAGTTCTTATAAACTAGATTCCTAGATCTTATTAGACTCAGACCAACCTAAGTATTAATTTTCCTACTGTTCACAAACATCCCTGAACTTCTTTCTCTTTCCTGGGATGACTTGCCCATGACAGATACTGGAGTTTGGCCTTCCTGCTGTCTTTTATTCAATCAATACTCTTTTCCTCCTATCTCGTACTTCAGACATTTCTTTCCCTATCCCCCAGGTAATACATTTGCTTTTCTTGTTTCTGTAGTTTCCTTTTGTTTTTTGAAATATTCCACATGGAAGTTCTATATTTCTTTCCCTCAGAGGCTTCTGACTCTCCAATTATGATTATCAGTGTACTTGTTAACATTTGGAACTCTGAAGACAGACAAATCTAGATTCAAATTCCCACTGTGCCACTTACTGCCTACGTGATATGAAGTAATTTCCTACTCACTCTGCACTCTGATGCTTAGATACTCTTGCTCTTTTCAGGTGGGTGACCTTGGGCCAATGATACAATCACTCCAAACTTCACTGTCCTCATTTGTAAAATGACAGTACATACCTTACAACATTAGTATGGAAAATAAATGTGATGATCAATGCAGTGGCAAAATAAACTAATCACTCTATAAATATTAGCTATTACCATTATTAGCAATTCAATTTGCCAGACCCATTTGGTATGTATCAGGTTTCCTGACTTCCTTTTGTTCTCAATACAAATGCTATTATTTCTTAAATGTGGAATTTATCAGCCCTCATTAGCCAGAGGCATTTTCTCATGGTCCACATGAAGTTTAGAGAGCTGGGAGACCCAGAAGCTTTTACACAGTTAATACTATTTAAACATGTCTGAGTCCTGCTGAGTCCTCACTTGTCCCATTTCTTCTGTGTGCTAGAGCTTACTAACAGAGCAGTTTTCACCTAAGTGCATCAGAACCTAAATGTGGAGATTATGACAGTAAGTGTGAGAACTACAACCAAAGAATATCACTGAACCAGGGACCTATAAAACAACCAGCCTGGTGCAGACCACGATGCAGGACTCCACACACATACCCAGTGCTTTGGGATCCCAGAGTGAGGAACTCAGTGCTCCAGTTAAAGAGAAAGTCAGGGTGGGAGACCTGACCCCTGCATCAGTCACTCCACTTGACTCAGGCTTATTTCTGCTGAAGTGTCTGATGACCTCCAAAGCCCCCTTCCGCCTTCATTACTCTAAAGGCCACTCCTCCAGAAATGAAAACCCAGCAAAGAGCGTATCCTCTGTGAGAAAAGCTATTCCTGATGCTGCAAACTATAAGCATGTTCACAAGGTACATCTGTAGGATGACACTAAGCCAGATGTATTTCAAGTACCAATTATTATACAAAAAAGAGCTTCCTTTTTGCATCTGTGGTGGTGGTGGTGATAGTGGACACAACCCACTCCTCAAAAAGGAAAAGGAATGCATATAGTGATACTAATTATTATTACTTGCAAAATCAAAACAGAAATTCTGAAGGAAGTAAAAACTGAGGGTTTTTTTTTTATATTAAATTAAAGATTTCTGTTATTTGAAAACCAAGATTATCCTGGCAGGAAATTCTACTTTAGAACAGCAATTGAACTTGTGCTGCAGTGAAGGTAGATTCAAACAATGATGTGAAGTCTGGTGAGAACTAACAAACCCCAGCAGAGAGTCTCAAAAGACCATACTCAAACAATATTAAACCCCTGAGCTTACAGAAAGCATCAACTTAAGGGGTTTACCCCAGTTCACCATGTCACATGTCCCTACTTTTTAACGTTGCTATAAGAAATTAAAAGAAATTCTGTATAGCTGCTTTAAATGGGGACTCAGATCAGTAGGTGTACACAGAACACATAAGGCAGTTTGTGTCTTATTTACTCCCATTATTATAAATGAAATCAAACCACTGAGATTTGTAGACTTTGGGGGATCTCTTTTTCACTGTTGAGCCCAAGGTTATTTCTCCTCTTTAACACCAATAACCATTTTGACATATTTTTCCTAACTCTGCATATATTGAAAATAGGTGGTTGCCAATAAAACTCAGAAACATAACTAGCATTCTAAGAAAATGACCCTGAAATTATTCTTTTCACTGTGGCTTTACCTGATGCTCCATGGTGCAGTCTCCTGAGGGTTCCCTGCTTGGAATGACTGAATGAAGATGATAACCAGAGTTGAATGAGGAATCCTGAAATTGGGGATTCTAGCTCCTAATGCAATCTGTATACCAATCTACAGCAGGAGTTCCTCTTTATTTACCATTTGGTAGACTATAGGTGGAGATGTTGTGGGCACATGGACACAACCGTTCAAACTGCTTTGAAAGAGGAATGCGTAAGAGAGAGAGATCCAAGTGCAAATAGGTAGGCATTTCAGATTTCAAGAGAGAACTGAACAGGGAACATCTGTTGCATCCCCTGGGTTTGAGGGCAGTCTGTGTAACTCTTCCTATCTCTGAGAGTGTGCACAAAGTGGAGAGGGTGGAGACTTCCAACCTCAAATCTAAAAAAGATTGAGAGATTTCGGAAGGCCCAGAGGCGCCAAAGGTCAGGGGGATCAATATACAGACCCTACCGAGGGGGGAGGGAGGGGGAAGGGAAGACTAGTATTGAAAACCGCTGCAAAAGCGAAGCCAATGAGAGGGAAGGAAGTTTCTGAATAATTAAAAAGTTCAGAATAAGCAAACTCAGTTGCCACGGGGGAAGGAGGTGGGATGGGGGATTTTAAAAAAGCGGTTGATGTGGTAATTAAGAATTTTGGTGAGAGCCTGGGCAGGTCACCTCCTTTCTCAGATCAGAGCCCCATCAGAAATTCTTTCAAGTGTCCTTCTGCGTCGCCAAAGATGACAACAGCAAATCAATAAGTGCTTGAAATGAAAGGAGATGTTGGCGAGCCCCCAGGCTACAGATTTCTCGCCGCCAGCCTGTTCTGAACTCCTAGCATGCCTTTGCACCGCCTCTCTTAAGAAGAGCTACCTTTTATTCCAATTCTCAGGACGAAGGTAAGTGCTCAGTTAGCATATCTATTACAAGTCGGCTCTATTTCCAGCTCTCTCTTCGGGCCGAGAGAGCGCTGCCTCAGTTCGCCAGGCGGCCGGCGAGGCGGGAGGAGACGAGCGGGCTGGCCAGGCCGCCGGCGGGGCCACACACCTCCCGCGCTGGGCCAGCTGGCCCCAGGATCGAGCGCTTCTAGGTCCGAGCTGGAAAGTCCTGCCACAGCAAACGGCCTGAGCGACGGCGGCCTCCGGAGCGCTTCTTCCACTTCATTTATTTACAAATAAGCACAAAATCATTAACAACAGAGAAGGGCCCGTGCTCCAAAATTACAACTTGGAATCACCGGAAGCTCCGTTCTGACTTCCAGACCTTGGTCTGTTCCCCTTCCAATAACCATCTCTTCCCTAATATGCCTTGATTTAACAATCTTTCCAGAGCCCAACATCAGGAGACGTTTTAATTAGGTAATTCATTAGTGAGTCAATACAGACATTGATATATTCTTTTAGCTCAAGTGGTTAAGTACTAATTTCGAAATGATTATAAAACACCGGAATAGGCAACGCATCGTAATTTTAATTTATATGCAAATCAATTGGTTCATCTTTAACTCCCTTATAAAAAAAAAAAAAACAATTATTGTATTGTAGCATCCGAGGTAGGATCAGACCTCCTGAATAAATTTGGAAACAAGACCTGGACTGGGAAGAAAATTTAGAACCGCCAACAAATCAATAATGTTTGAGGCAGTCAAACATCTCTAGCCATTGGTATTTACATACTTGCTTGTTTTCAGATAAGGAGCTGGGGAAATTGCTTGCCAGAGCTGAAATCATAATCCAGAGTGAAAAAAGTAAATGGTAGCATGCAGCCAGTCACCGCGGGCTTGAAAATAATACTGTACCTTTCCTAAATCCTGACTCCTGGGTGAGAGGAAGTTGGCAGAGGTCACCCCACATTTGTCCTCGGTTTTGCCCTGCTTTGATTACAAAATGCTATGTCCTCCCTGAGTTTCACAAGATGCTCTTTATTCTAACAGTTCTGTCACTTGCTTCAAAGTGTTAGAGGGAGGGGCATAATTCAGAATCTCACTAGAACTTATCTGAACCCATGTAACCAGCACCACTTTTCCTATGCTGATTTATTGGGGGAAAGGGGTTACCTTATGTCTAATTCTCTGTCCCCCACACACATTAAATCTGATCATCAAAAAGGACAGAAGGAATGGGCAGTGAAAAATGGTGCAGTGCACAGGTTTAATGGAAGGTTATTATCTTTAGACATAGTTCAAAATTTTGGAAAATTAAAAAGAACATTTACTTCTGGGGGAAAAAAATTTTAGGATGCTCTACAACAGTGAATCTCACCAGGCGATCCGTGCTGGAGTTGTTTATGTAAAAGTGTAACATCCTTGAAATTCACTGATACATAAGGTCAGTGTCTCCCCACCACGGCCCCCAGCCAGGCGATCTGCCCTTTAAGGAGCTGGTACCTTTGATGCTAGAATCTTGTTTACATCTGCATGGCAGGGAATTGCTTGCTTCGCTTGGATGCTCCCTCCACCCCCCTTCTAATTTGAAGTAATCGGAATCTAAATACAATCGCCAAGGCCCACTCTTCCATTTCTGCTACGGTGAGAGAAAAACCTGAAATCCACGTCTTAGATCAGCTCTGTGGTTTGTAGCTTGCGCGCGCGCACACACACACACACACACACCCCAGCACCCTGCCTTTCCTCTGCATGCCTAATGTATTCCCTGGTGGTTCTGGGCATTAATTAGTTGTTTAATAGGAGTATGACTAAAAATGTAAAAGAAGGATTAGGAGCGTGAAACGTATGTCCAGCTCCTTCCACACACTCGAGGAGGGAATGAGAATCATTCTGTATCTTCTATTTCTCCAGGAGCCATTTGCATTTCCCACCAGCTGCTCACTTCAGCTGCACTGGCGCTGGGCGAGGCGAGGACCCAAAAGCTCGGCGCGGTGTCTGCGGCGGCCGGGACTGGGGTTAACCAGCCCCTGGCGGGCGAGACTCCAGACAGAAGGGGGGGCGAGGGATGTGCGAGCTTCCCAGAGCCCCTCCATCCCAGCCCCAGTTTGCAAACCTCGGAATACTGAAAGGGGGAGGGGGTGGCACGCGCTTATCTGCGCGAATCTCCAGCGCAGTCCCTTTCTCTTTCCCTCGTCTCCCCGGGCGTCTCTGACTCTGCCTCTGGTTTTCTCACTCTTTTCCCACTTTTCCGCGAGATTCTCCATCCTTGCCTCCAGATGAAGGCGAGGCTGTTCTGCTCTGAGCATCTCTTAATCTCTATAAAAATGAAAAGAAAAGAAGGAGGCAGACATTAACCCATAACTCAGGGGGCTGGGCAGGCGGCAAAAAATCTTTGATGGGTAGAGAGGAAAATGTCTTTCTTGGACTAAATTATATAGTATGTTGTGACCTTAGATTTCAGTCGTGGGACTTGGAGAAATTTGATTTTCTTGCCTCAGCAAGATTTCAGAAATCAGAAATAGAAATCCTCCCAGACAGAGGGGAAATAAAAGTAAAAACAGCACGTGGGCATTTCCCCCTCATTTCTCTCCCCTTGAATAAAACTGTCTTGAATTTCCACCGGTAAAGAGAGAAAGTTTGAGTTTTCACGGATGTTATGTGGAGGTTAGAAATGGCTTAAAAATCTAGACCTCTCGTCAGTTTTCTTCCTGGCTGAAGAGGCTAACCCTTTCCATAAAATGAGTCCATCTGTCGACTGTTAGCTATTTCAAAGTGAAGGGATTTAGCACTCAAAACAAATTGAGTGAGTTTGTTTGCCTGTTTTTACTGCTAACTCAAATGAATTCAAAACACGGAGTAATTCAAGAAAACACATAACATATTCCAGACAGCTCCCAAATGTAGGGAAAGCCCAGCACCTATATGGTGACCTGGGTTATTTTAAACTCCAGGCTTTCAAAGATGTACGTATTTCACACACATTCTCCGGGCATCATTATATTTTCTTAAAATTGCAAGATTTGGTATATTGATGTAGGAAGAGCAATACAACTTTTAGAGGGGATTTTATCCTCTCCTGAGACCCAAAGATGAGGGGGCCTCTCTAATGCTAGGCCTGGTTGAGTTTTGCTCTTATGAAGGAAATAATATTGGTAAGAATATAGGACCAGGAGCTGTGGTTATTTTCCCACATTTTCCAAAAACCAACATTAACAGGATGCCCTAGAGACTGAAAGAACTTTGTCCAATATGCCTGGCAGAGCCTTCCCACCTGGTCTTCCAGCGAATCATGTTTATAGTCCTACCACTCAAAGGCAGGGCACAGCAAAAATATCTTCTGGCCACCAAAACACAAGCCCTTGCTGGAGTCAAGAAATCGGAAAATCAGGGTTTAGAAGTAGGGCACGCTTCGGGGAGCGAGGGGCAAATGGCCCTTCCGTTTTCACACGTTCTTCGATTTTTAGGAGCAAATGTGGATTTGAGGGGAGCTTCCCTTCCCACCCCCACCGCCATCCCTTGCAATTTAATACCATGCCCGCCAGGAACCTTAACCTCGTCATTTTAAAAAATGAGATAGCCGTGACCCGGAGTGAACTTGTTGGGTGTAAGAACAGCAGAGGAAATTCTAGACTCCATGAGCACCCGAGCCTGGCCCAGCGCAATGCCTTAGTGCACACCGGCCGGTGCGCGGCCGTGCCCACCTGCGCGCGGACACCGGGCGCTGTGCGCCCGGCCCACTCGCCTTGACCTCGGCACGGTGTCGCCGCCGGCGGTGCCGGGCCAGGGGTCCTGGCCTTCCGCGGAAGACGAGCCGGTAGCTCCCTTCTAGCTGTCTCCCTCCTACCCTCTTCCCAAACCCAGTCATCCCACCGACCCCCTGCTCATCCCACTTTTCCTGATTTCTCCTGTCATCCACTCTCACCCCCTCGCGCAACCTTCTCTGCAGCTTCCTGCCTTCCTCCGCAATCCCTGGTATCTAGGAACTCTTTCCTCACCCTTGCAGGCCTGACTGTTTCCTCACCCTTGCCTGTGTGTGACATATTCGAACTCACGCCCTACAAGCCTCGCCCCCAAACAAACCCAGGCACACAGTCCTTTGTTCCATTTCTTAGGCCACTTTCTCTGTCCCTCCCTCCCTCTCTGTCCGGGTTTACACACACACACACACACACGCCCATACACACACTCCAGGAGAGCGTGTCTCTCCGACGTCTCCCCGACGCCTTGCCCTTCCCCTCTGATTTATGAGAGCTCCTGATCTGGCGCAGGTTCCTTTTCCTTCTCCTCCTTCCCATCCTCCCTTCTCGTCCTCCTTTCCCCAGTGGGAGTGCTCGCGCCTGCTGCGCCGTCTGCTCCTGTCTAAGCGCCCTGCCCGGCTCCCGCGCCTGGTTTCCTTCCCCGGGCTCCTCTCGGGCTCCGGGCTCCCGGGCCCGCTGGCCTTCACCTCCCGCTCCCGCCGGGTTGCCCGTCGCCCCTGCGGGCTCCCCCCGCGCCCTCCCGAGCGCCGCGCTCGCTCCTTGATCGGCCGCCGCGCTGCCGGCTCGGCCGCCCGCCCGCCCGCGCGCCCGCCACTGTGCAGTGGAGTTTGGTGGAATCTCTGCTGACGTCACGTCACTCCCCACACGGAGTCGGAGCCGAGGCAAGAGAGAGGGATGAGAGCGAGGGAGGGGAGAGAGCGTGCGAGAGCGAGCGAGAAAGCTGGAGTAGAGCGGAGAGAAACTGCCAGTGACGGCTAGATTCCGGAGGCCGCTGCGCGCCCTTGGACCCCCTCGGAACGTGGCACCCTCGGGAGCCCCGCAGTCCTCTCCGCCCGGGCTTCTCGGGCGCCGGCGGTGCAGTCCGCGTCTCGGTTCGCTGGAACTCTCTCCGGGACGCGGCGGGACGCGCAGACTGCAGCTCTCTCCCGGTAGCCGGTAAGTGGAGGCCGTCTCTCCCGCAGGGATGTGAGATAATGCGAGTTTGGAAATTTGTTCCACTTTAGAGAATCTTCACCGAAGGTGATTTGTGGCTCTTGGGGGCTGTCTTTCCCCCCGAGGTAACGCAGTTGGCAAACAGACCTTGCAAAGCCCTGTTCCTTTGGTCCCCAGCCACAGACACTAGCAATCTATGGGGTGCTGAAGTCGAGTGGGAAGCGAGACCATGGCTGGCATTTAAAAGGAGGTATCTTCCCTTAAATCTTGGTGCCAACACTGCAGGGACAAATCCTCAGACGGAGGATTAGCATTCTCAAGATAAAGGGCCGGGTACAAAGTTTCAGCTACTGGAAGATTAGCCCCCTTCCCATTGTTACCAATTGGAAAAAAGATTCCATCTTAACTGGCAGTTAGTGACCTCTCAGGCCCAAGCGAATTACCTGGGAGCCAGGCCTGAATGCCAAGCTCACACAATTACTTCGGATTATAAATCCTTTAAATTGATTACCAGTCAACTCCAATCTTGCACTTTGGGAGATACATTTTAAATGGATACAGGGGAGACGACTATTTTCCAACCATCCAGTAAGGAAAAAATTATGATCCTAAATCTGAGAAATATGTTCCTCTTTTTATTACAATTTAATGATTTTATTTTCCTTAGCAATTTAGAAGTCAAACCATCATAGGGTCCTGTGAATTTTATTTGTGCAAGCAATATGTCTTATTAAACTAAATTTTTTAAAAAAACTTTTACTACCATGAATTAAAATAATATTGGAGTTCATACATTCTAAAATATTTTATGAAAAATTAATTTGATTTAGAGATATTTCCTCACATTCTTTTTAGGCCATTAATAAGAATTAAAGTTGCTTTTAACATCATTTTGGAGGAAATCCATCTAAAAATACAAATACCAGTTATGTAAAGGAAACAAAGCACTTAAGCAATATAGGCTGAGGATTTCTGTTGATATAACATAAGCATACAAAGTTTCAATAATCAAACTTTGCCTAAAAATGAAATAGCTGCTTCACATATGGAATGTTCTGCTCTACCTCAGCAAAACAACACTTAAATTATTCAGGGGCTTTGTTCCTCAAGTTGAGTATGTTTGTCCCCAAGTGTTCCTAAATCACCAATATTAATTGGTTTAAAAGAAGGCTTAAACTGCTAAAATACAGACCTGTGTTAAGCAGTATTTTAATTTCCTTAAATGATTACCCACTGCAAATTAATTTACTGACTAATCTCACTAATTTAGTTCATTTAAAACATATGTTCTTATCATGTTTATTTTTAAACTTTCAGTAAAGATTTTGCTATAGGATAGCAATGTAAATGGAAAGGAGGGAAATGTGAAAGAACGTAGAATTATTAGGACTATGTTTCATTCCTACAATTTCATCTTATGGCAATCATCAGAAATTATTTTTCAGCAAATTGTTTTATTTCTTAGGGCTTGCCTGCTTGTGTTAGCCAGTGTGGTTCAGGGTGTTCCCATTAGCTGCGTTGGGCTTTTTAGTGAGCTCACAATAGAAAACTCAAGTTGACCAAAACAAGATTGCCTGGCTTATACCTTCCAACCAGGACATGAACTTTTGGGGTGAGAACAACTTTCCAACAGGAAAAGTTGCTCATCTTAATTTGTGAGATTAGCCACTGAAGCCCGTCTCTAAATCCGGCAGCCAAATTTGTCTTGTAAGACTTGTCTTGACAGGGCAAGTTTAAGGATCAGCAGGCGGGAGGGAATTGGAAGTCTCTTTTAAAAAATTACCTTCCCCAGTTATTTAGATTCAATTCATCTAGCAGGTTTGGTCATTATATGAAGGGAAAAAAGTGCAAATCTCAGGATTCATTTTGACTGCAAAATAAATCCCCAAGTCACAAGGACATGTAGGAGTGAGCTAAGGAACATGCCTTGACCTTCTTTTCAGTCTTTAGAGAGGAGTTCTTGAAGATTTGTTTTGTATTGCTTTGTTTGGTCTTCAGCACTGAAGCGTGGGAGTTGGTTGGGGGGGGGGAGAATGTGTAATAATCTACTGACTTTACACTGAGCAATGCGATCTTTTTCTTTTGTAGATTTTACTATTTTTAAAAATAAAAACTATCTGCGGTTACCATCTGCAAAGCTCTGACTACCGGCTAATAATGCAGCCAATTCAGAAGTTAAAAAAAAAAAAAAAAAAGATTATCGAAATGATGATGACATGCAAATTTTCCCCGAAATTATCATAAGTAAACATTTGAAGTCTGGACTAATAAAATCCCATCTGTGTTACTTCATATCGAGTTAGTAGAAAGCTGTGATAATGAATTTTGTAATATCTCACGAACAGACATCTCAATCAGGGACTAATCCTGTGATTTTACTGCAGAATCACTAAATCTGGAACCGCCAAACTGCTACTTCTGGGCCCCCGGGCCCGCCAGGATCCGCAGAGCCCCCGCCCGCGTCCACCCGCGTCCCCAGGCGGGTGGGGGAACCGCCTGGAGACCCCCACCCCTTGGATCCCCAGGCCGCTGCGCTAGGCAGCGACCTTAGCCCGAGGCCCCTGGGTCCCGGCTCCTTCCAGGAGAGGCCGAGGAACCTAGAAATGCAACTTAGGCCAGAGCCAGACCCCCCAGCTCCCTGGCCAACCTGTGCCCCTCGAACAACCCGGCAAACACCCGCCCGAAGCCCCAGCCCTGGATCCGAGCGAGAGATGCCCTCCCGCTGCCGGCGTACCCTGGTTAGCGTGGAGCGAGGCAGGCGCCGAGATCCGAGGGGCCTGGGGAGCTGGGACCTTCATTCTTTTCTTCTGTCTTTAAAGCAGCCGCTGCTCTTCTACCCACCCCGACAGAGCCCCCTCGCCACCCACCTCTCCCGGTTTGCCTGTGGCGGAGAAGGGGGCGCGCATTAAACGCCTGGCTCGCTGCGTTGTGGTTGGAAATTTAAAAAAAGATTTGGTTTGCCGGGGAGGAGAAGGGGGAGAACTGGGGGGAGCCGTTCTCTCAGAGCTATTTCTCTACCCTTGGCGGGCAGTAAACCCTCCGGGGACGTTTGCCCGCGCTCCTCAGTCTAACTCATTCCACCTCGGTTCCCCTGCTCTGCGATCTTAAATCATACTTTAGGGTAAATAAATGACCGGGTGAGTATCTCCAGGGGAAAGTGTGGCTAAATATGGAAAAGTGGCTTCTGATAGAGGAGAGGCCCGAAGCCAGTCCGCTCTGGAGCATCCTAGGCCTTGGAGTCCTGTTCGAGTCAGAATTACAGAAAATCGAGGCGGGGTGGGGGTGGGGGGGGGGGTTCTATCTAGGACAGGAGCAAGTTGACTTTGACACTATAAATGTTTACTGAGCTTCAACTAACGGACAAGCACTGTGCTGGCCTTCGCACACAGCTCCCCACGGAGAAAGTCCTCTTCACCCAAATTTTGTACCCCCCCCCCAAGGTTATCCTCGTGTTCAGGGCTTTTAAGCCGTGACACAGGGACCCCTGTGGGTAACTGCACAGCTTGGGTTCCCAGAACGCGGTGGCTTTCTCGGCTCCGAGCCCCTGGACCCATTGGCTGCAGCTCTGTAGAGACATCCAGACCCCCCCACCCCCCAACACACACACACTTTGATAAACATTCGGAAGTTCAGGAGCGGGGGCAAGGGTGGGGCTGAGGCCGGGCTCGGGCTGCCGGAGACTGTCAGGTCCGCGAAGCACTCCTGAAACACAGTACGGAGGGGCGCCTGATGGCTCCTGTTGAAGTCGTCTGCCCCGCAGGTCTGCCCCAGCGAGCCCTGTGCGCCCGCCCGCCGCCGCCGCTTCTCACGACCCTCCTCCTCTTGTTTTGCAGGTAACGGGGAATGGAGACCAACTGCCGCAAACTAGTGTCGGCGTGTGTGCAATTAGGTAAGAGGCGTTTCTTCCGCCAGGGTCACCCGACCTGAGACCGCGCCACGCGAGGGCGGCGAGAGGGCACGGGTCTTACGGCGAGGCCGCGCGAGGGGCGCTTCCCGGAGGGGCCGGCCAGGGCAGCAAGGAAATCAGAACCTGGACGTCGGGGGACTCTCCTAGTGGGGGGCTGTGGGTCGGGAGGGAGCCGCGCGCCGCGTCTCCAAGCCTCGGGCCTCCTTTTCGCCGGGGCCGCTGGTAGCCCGGGAGGCGAGGAGACAGAACCTCGCCCCGCGCCGGGTTGCCAGACGGTCCGGGAGACTGGCCCGTCCTCCGCTCTTTCCTCTAACTGGGTCTCTGCTCTTTGTTCCTCTCTCTCCTCGCTCCTGCCTCCCTCCCCACTCTCTTCGACACCCCGATACTTTCCCCCGCCGTCCGGGGCGTCTCTCTCCCTGCACGTGGGGCGGGCGCGCGTGGCCCAGGCATGCAGCCGGCGGCCGTTGAATGCCTCTTCTCCAAAGACTCCGAAATCAAAAAGGTCGAGTTCACGGACTCTCCGGAGAGCCGGAAAGAGGCGGCCAGCAGCAAGCTCTTCCCGCGGCAGCATCCCGGCGCCAACGGTAAGACCTGGAGCGAGGCGCATGCCGAGCGCTGGGCGCCCGCCTCCCGGCCTCCGGGGCTCGAGTGAGGCGCACGCGGGCGAGGCCGCCAAACCTGGCGCGCCTGCTCGGAACTTAAGACACTTGGCCTCCGGTTGGGACGGGAAGCAGCCGTCCAAGGAACGTTAATTCCTTTCCCCAAATTATACTGCACTCCTGAGACCCATCACCTCTCCCTCTCCCTCGCTCTTCTCCTGATGATCTCCTGATGTGTGGCCTGATCTACGCACACCCCGAGCTACCTCCGTGCCTCTAGCTGGCGTGGAAAAGTGGTCCAACAGCGACCTCTGTCGCTCACTACGTCCCACTGCATGCAGCACTTCAGGGCCCACCCCGTCCCGGCGGCCCTCGGCCGCGCCCCGCCCAGGCTTGTGGGTGCGGGGTTTACCGCGGAGGCCAGCGCGCGAGGCTTGGGTTAGCGTAGGTTCGCCCCGGTGGCGAGGTGGAGGAGCTGACAGCAGCCCTACGGGGCCGGAGGGCAGCGACTGCGCGCAGCAGCTGAGGGTGGAATGGAGTGTGTGACCCCGTGGCACCGCCGACCTGCGGTGCTGGTGGCAGGGTCTGGGTTTTGGCGGTGCGTTCGATGGTCTGGTTTCACTCTGGAAGAGTCGAGGGCTATTGCTGCTCGAAGTCTGCACGCTTGTGTAAAACTTAAAACGTCCTCTGCGCACAGACCTTGTTGAATTGAATCGTGGTCTTTAGGGGTGTTTGTGAGAGAAAGAGAGAGACAGAGGGGTTAAAGGGATAACCTTTCCTTAGGAATACAAGAAAAGCTCACATTTGCCGTTCGTCTGTTCTCCCATGTTTTCCAGGCTCCTTAATAAGTAAGTGCCTATTCTTAGGAGGTTGTTGACCTCTGATAATGTGAGGACATAACCACACACACACACACAAACAGACCTCCGCCCCTAACTACCACTTTCAGGATTAAAATGTAAAGATACATATGTGATATGTGCTACAGGGAGGCGAATTGGGACCCCCGCCAAGTAAACTTGCCAAGAAGAAAACAAAGGTTCCGCATTGGGCTTCCCAGTGAATCGGAGAGAAAAGCACCATTTGTTGGAATAAAACGCTCAAAGTGGTATGGAGCTAACCGGCCTCGACACCGCGAAATATCGCTAGTTCTCCTGCTGGGCCAGTTAAACGCTCACTTGTCCGGGATTAACCCCATGGGGTTAAATGGGGCCTTGCAGAGATAACGTCGGGTGATTTCTGTCATTAAGATTGTGTTAAATTCTTCTTCTGTTTGATAATCGGTCGTAAAAATAAATTATTACACCGGAGTATGTTTGGGATATGGTTAAAAATCAAGAGCAGCGATGACTCCCGGAGAAAATGCTTTGTGCGGGTTGAGCCCTGCCTGGCTCCGGCCGGACTAGGGGAGCTTCCCAGTGCGGCTTCGCACAGCGCGGGCTGGCCGCCGCCCAGCGAGGCTGGCATTTCTCCTGCTTTAGGAGCCGAGAGATGCCAAATGTCTCCCCCTCTTCTCACCCGCATCTACCCGTTTCTTGCCCCCGGGAATGGTTTTGAGGACAGGTGGTTTCCACGGGAGTTTAGGACCTCTTAACCGAGAAGACTGAGGTGGGGTGTGGGCTTCCTAGGTGGGCAAAAAGTGGAGGAGAGCCGGGGAGTCCTGTTTGCTGCAGTCACATCCTGGGCAGGTGGGCCTGGATGTTTGCTTTTAATAATTAGCAAGGAAATAAAGAGCTAGAAATAATAAACAATTTTTCTTAACCCTTACATTCAGGCTTGGATTATTTTAGTGCTGGGAAAGGCTCTTCTCCACACAGCCAACACTGTGTTTTCTGCCTTTTGAACTTTAGAAGAAAATTGCTGCCCAAACATGTTTAATGCCATTAATTAAGAGACACGTGATAGGAAAAAATGCTGAAAATCTTGATGTTATTGGCTTTTAGGGAATTGGGTAGACCAAAAATGTCACACGACTGCGCAAAACTATTTAGTACCACTGAAGGAAGGTTGCCAGAGTCCCCTTACTGAATATAAGTAAATTTAACTTATGGAATATGCAAACTCCTAGCCACAGCTTCCTTTTAATAAAAAGAAAAGAAAAAAGAAAAGATTTTTTTTCTCCTTAACTTTTTAATAGGTTTTATTTGCTTTTAAAAAGAAAAAAATGTTTATAATGACATGCGATTTTCAAAAAGGGCCATGATATCCTATTATTGGCACTACCCTCTCATTCCCCCAAAACACCCTGTCCTCACTGAAGACTGAAAACGTTCTCTGAGTTGACAGGGTCGACCTCCTGGAGGCCCCGACTCTGTGTCCCATCCCAGTCGAGTCCCCATTCTCTTGATACCCGTAGGAATGACCCGACGTCTGGCTCGAACCCTTAAACGGGATCAGGCAGGAAGTAGGCTGGAGACCTCCTAAAGCCAGAGGTTTGAGAGAGGGTGGAGAGAGGAGTGGCTAGGTGTGGTAAGTGGAGAGCAGAGTTGACAAGTTAAACACCACCCTCCCCTCTTCCCCACCCCCACCCCCCTTACCGAAGGGGCAGAGGCCTGCTTGGAACATCTCCCTAGGACAGACGTCCTTGGCTTTCCTTCCCTTTGGGTGTCCCAAAACGAGTTTCCGTTTGGAGGAACTCAAAAAGTTGTCTTGACCTTCAGGAAGAGGATGGAATGATCCTCCCCTGTCAGTAACCTTTAAATTTCGGAGTAGTGACCCTGGATTGGGGGCTGTAATCCACCGACCTGCCGAGATCGTTCCCGGGGCCTGGCTTCGCGACCAGACCTGGGGCGGCTATCTTCCCCGGGGCCTCCCTCAGCGACTCGATTAATTTTTAAATCATTCTGGCAAAGCAGTTGAGCTGAAAGTGTTCGCCCCGGGCCTCTGGTGCGCGCAGACTTCCTTCCCTAGGGACGAGGACTCCAAGGCCCCAACCGCGACACACACCGCCTCCCGAGGCAGCAGCCGGCCCCCCCCCGTCTTCCTCAGAGCTCCCGGGGTGACCCCGACGCCTTGACGGCCGCAGAGCCCCATTCATTCAATCACCAAGCGCTCGCCAAGCACATTCACCGCTGATCCTAATGCCCCACAAAGCAAATCACCCGATTTCTCTACGCCATTACCAAACGACTTTAATGCTAACAAGCAGACCCGCAGAAGCAGCCCAGACCACCTCTAGCAAAAAAGCAAAATCCTGCTGCGTGGGGCGGCGCTTGGACCTGAGCTCGGTCGGAGAGAAAGGGGAGTATTAAAAGGGGGGGCGGGTAATCTTCGTGCTAACAGGGAGCAGGGGACCAGGACGCGCTAGAGGACAGTGAGGAGGATTGGAGCTGGGGAAGGAGAGCATTCCTTTTTTTTTCTACTCACAACCCACCCCGCGCCAAATCTGCAGTTTATCCGCAGAGCTGCCTCTCCTGTGTGTATGTGGATGTGTTTTCCCCAAGAGGGGAAATTGTCCGAAAGCAGTCAGGCCCCAGCGGTAGGCAGTCTTGACGGGTCGCGTCTTCGGTCCCGCCGCGGTGCGCGCTCCAAGGTGCGCGGGGCTGGCTCGGCAGTTAACCCGCACCGCCCGCCGGTAATATATGCAGCAGTTGTCAGAGCGACTCCGGGGAAAAGGAAATGTATAACGAAAGCTTATTCGTGAGCAGGAATATACTAATGGAACAATCTGATGTCTTCTTAATCCTATGTAAAAAGCTTTGTCGTCTTCCTAATATTGACTGAATGGGTAATTAATGGCTCTTCATCTAGGCGAATACCCTATAATCCAAAGATAGGCGAAAGACAACAAGCGCAAGGTAGAAGACAAAAGGACCAACTGCGGTCGCCACCTTCCTCCCTCCCACCCTCCACTCAGGGTCTTCAAATGGGAAAGTTTCCTCTCAGGAGAAAAAGGCAAGAGTGGGAGAATATACATACCTTTCCCGGGCTAGATTTAGCCACAGAACTGGCTGCCCAGCTCCATACTCCGCTACTCCGTCTCTCCCCCACCAGCCCTTCCCTCTGCGTTTTTCTTCTCAGCTCCTCTAGAAAGTCCCCCCTCATTGTGGCCCAATCCAGCACCTTTCCCCCCAAGGCACCCATTTTTCATTTAGGGAAGCGATTGATCACGGAGGACCAATATACGAGGTCCTCTGACTCAGGCAAAGAATTGAGTGTCTTTCTGAAAAAGATAAGAGATTCCATTCTTTTACAACCCAAGGCAGACAATCAGTGAGGACTAAGGTAGTTGGGAGGGGAGGAAAGAAATGAACAGAAGGAGAGGTAGTAGGCAGAATTATGTATACATGTTAAAGAGTGATCGGGAGTGATGGAGTCAACTCCACTGTGAGGCTCTGACATGAAGAATGCCCAAGATTCTCCCAGCGTGTTTTTAACAGGCTGACATTTTAATTTAAACCTTTAGAAGTAATATATTACTTGGGTTACTACAATGAGGTGGGTTCCTTTTTTTTTTTTTTTTGGTCAGCTGACAGCTTTTAAAATATTATTTCGCTAGGGAAATAAAAGCTTCATCTCAGATTATAGGTGGGTATTTTTGGATTTATGTGATTTATGGTCACCATGACAACTAATGCTGAATGTTAGCTACCAGCATGACTGGGAGAGGGGAAGACAGAAAGAAGGGGAACAAGAGAAATAGAAAGGGATACAGACATGAGCAGGAGAAGGGAAAATAGAGAAAAAAATAAAGAGAGAAGCGTTTCAATCCAGTTTTTTAAAAAGTGACTTTAGTTAGTCCCATGTCACTTCTGTCTCTCTGGACCTAGATATTGATGTTTATCCATTCCTTGTTTCTCTTATATCCCACACACAAGTATACCATTCTCTTTATTTTATTTTCCCACCTGTAGTTGTGTTCTGCGATTAAATGAGCACCTAATAAACCTGTAGCATTAACAGTCTGCTTTGGAAAGGCACTACAGCTTGTGGGTTTAGTGATTGCAGCATCCCCTCTAACACGACCCAGAGCTTCCTCTAATCTCTGGCTCTTCTCTTCCCCTGCCAGTGTGGGGTGACGAGAACCCCCCAGCCAGTTAGCACAGACTTGAAGTGGTTGTGTGGGCGACAGAAATATGGGTTCCCTTCGCAGGGACCCAGAGAGGGTGGTGTTGCTCAGTACCTCTACAGACTTCTGATTCTGCAAGAATCTGCCACTTTTTGCAAACCTATGCTTTTAAAAATTGCACTTGGGGAGCTGGGGTGGGGGTGGATCAGCCACAATAAACCTTGAATTTCTGGGTGTTCCAGCTGCATGGCTCAGGTCAGGGAACAGCAAAGAGGCCCTTTCCAGCATGATGTGTGTGCAGAGAAAAGCCAGGCAGGGGAAGGAGGCAAGGTGCAAGGTCTCCCTCTAAGCTCTGCACCTTACACCGAATGCTCATGCACGCACACACAGACACACACACACACTCATGCCTGTCATGAGCCTTCGAGCTGAGTCCGGTAGGATCTCATCCTTGAGCTAACCTGGACCATAGCAAGACTCCCACCCCTCTATGGCCTGACAGTGCAAGGAGACATTAATTTCACTATCTTCCAGATGAACTTTGAGGACAAACTCCCCCCACCCGCCCAAAGTCTCTAGTCACTCGCTTGGGTCCCAGTTCACATCTCTGCTGCCCGCTGGGGAGAGTTTAGTGGTGCTGCCTAACCCCTCTCATCGCGATGGCCAGAGGGCCTTTGTGCAACTAACACTAAAGAGTGTGAAATTAAATAAGACCTTAAGACTGGTAATCGGTGGCAAATACCAGCCAGAAACATGCCTAACCCTGTGTCACACATTTCCCTCCTCAAGGGTCTTTCTTTGAAAGAATAAGCAAGAAAACCTGATCAAAATGATATCTTCCGAGTGGAAAATCCAAACCCACACTGGGCTTCCTGTCCTCTCCCCACCACAGCCATGCAGCTTCCCTGAACCAACTATGCTGATTTTTTTTTTTTTCTGGAATGACAATTTCTTTGGTGGCTGCTGAAGACATAGTCATTTCTTTTTAAAAAATGTTTATTTGTTTGACTGCGCTGAGCATGTGGGGTCCAGTTCCCTGACCAATGATCAAATCTCGGCCCCCCTGCACTGCGAGCACAGTCTTAGCCACTGGACAACCAGGGAAGTCCCACAGAAATTTCTAGAACCAGCTAAAGAGTGGGGTGGGGGTAGGTCACATAATAGTAGTGTTGAACTTGCAACATACCTAGGATTCCCTTACTTCCAACTTCTTTGTTACCTATACGGCCCATACCTGTGCCCCCACAGGCTTTTTGTAGACTAAATCTAAAAATTGCCCACCACCACTACACTTTTAACTGAAAAGTGTTTCTTGTACTACATACTTGCTTTTCCTCTTCTAGACTTTTCATGTTGGAGCACCCCTACCAACCACAGAGTGAATATGTTGGGCCTGGAAGGGGTGTCACCCAGTATCAGTGTGTAAAATGATTTGAAGATTAGGAGGGAGTTGAAACTCTGGCTAGAAAAATGCAAAGAAATACCTCCCCTGATCCGTTGGCGGGGAGGGGAGGGTATATTTTGTACATTCATTTCTATCTTTAGAGAGGTATATGCATGATTTTTCACTTAACCAGAGTTCTTCAAATAACTTACCTTTCTTTATTTTCCACTTGACTTTCCAGTGGATCAATACAGTTTAAGATTCCTTATCTTTTTAGGCTTTCAGGCTGATCACCAGCACTTGCAACATCTCCTACACTTTGGCACTATGAAGAGCTCTCTCTCGCCCTTAGGTTTTTCACCCACTTTGGAGTCTAGGTTAGGTCCTTCATTTGTGTGTGTATTTGCCTTGGGGAAAGTTCTGTTCATTGACAAAGCCAATGAGCTTAAATCAAAATTCCATGCATTTAATGAGAGGTGGGCTTAGAAATCTACATGGCTTTGTGGAACCTCTCGGCTCTTCTGAGGAGTTTTGAAAACCACTCAGAGCCTTCACCAAAAACTGTAACTCCAGGATTTGAAACTTGAAGAAACAAGGAAGAGAGTATGTTCACTATGGAGGAGAATCTTTCATTCTCCGATGTGATGGAGTTTCTTTGTGATATGAAGGCATGAGCATGTGCTGTTGTGGGGACTGCAGCTATGCTGAGGTTTAAGAAAAGGTATTGGAATATGATTCGTAAACATATTGGGCAGAAAAGTGCTGGATTCATATTGACTTAGTTATAGGTCATCGGCTGTCAGTGCAGTGGGAGGAGATATTTACTTTACACGTATACTTTATGATCTTGAGGGAATTAGAGGAAATTCAATAAGAAAATGGCTAGAAACATTTAAAACCCTTATTTAAAAGACTTAAGCAAATTAGAGTCTTATCAGATTAAAAACCACTACAAATGTAAGAGCATTGTCTTCGGTGAAACACTGGGGGGTCTGAGAGGGAGAGTCTACCAAATCTCAGGGATAAAACGCGTCATTTAAGCACCCGATAATGAGCAGAATGTAAATTAATTTAACCTTCTTTACCAACAGGCTGCTTATGTAATATGTATAATTTAGTGATAAGATTTAAGAACCTAATATAACTGGATGGATGAGCCTCAGCTAATGCAGACCTTGTCACATGGGGATGTGTTCTGCTCTGAGCAGGTGTGTGTGTGCATGGAATGGGGTTAACCAGAATAAAAGGTTAAAAAACAAGAAATGCTGACTTAAAGCATCCTATGAAGAAAGCTCCTCCTGTTAGCTAAAATCTTCTTACACTAGAATGATACTTTGGGCAGAGACTAAAGAATTCTCATTCGGTCCTTTGGACTGCTCTCAAGCTTGTTTAAGATGGGGGAGGAGTTGCAGATACCATGAGGTGGGGGAGCAGGGCAAAGGAGAGACACATTAGTTACAAACATATTTGTTGTCTGCTTTATCCACTCCGCCTCAAACTGAATGAGTTTCTCAATCTTGGGAACAAGGACAAGGAGGGAGTTTTTTGAAGATACCTCATACTGGCGTTGCAAATCATTGACTGTAATGTCAAACAAATACACATTCGGGGATGATAACACTAACTCCACAATAAAGCAATCGTCAATGCAGAAACCCAGGGGAGATTAGTTTGTGCTCTTCAGCTGACCTAAGCCAGAGGACAAAAGGACTTCCACAAATTATGTTGAATGATATCTTTGGATTTCTTTCTTTAATTTCTGTGGAAATAGTGCTATAAAGATTTACATGTCCCCAGAGGTGTTTTTTCCTTTTGTCTCAAATATATGAACAAGGCTTTATTTTTCCTTGCTGAGTGTCCTCCTAGGCTTTTGCCCTTCAGCCACAGCCTACTGTCTCTGCCTGCTTGGACTCCCAACAATTCAAGACAGCCTTGAGCTCCCTAGGAATAGAAAATGACTTCAAAATTATCCTTGAAATTGGTTATTTGGCAACATTCTTAATTGTATGGAAATTCATTAAAAGCATATTTTATATATAATTAGCTCAAAGTTGTTGATTCTACAGGCTTTATGGATTTGAATCTGATTGATAATAAAGTAAACAAGAGAGTCAAATTTAAAGCAAGATTCTCTGTTGCATTAGGAGGTGCTTAATACAGTGTATAAGGAATTTGAAAGCCCTAGGATATGTGTCTTAATCAACGTTAAGTAGAATGGATAAGCTTTCAGCATTTTGAAAATGGTGGGTTAGGGTTTCTATTCTATTGTGTGTTTTCCGTCTGGGGACTAATAAGCATTACAGAGAACGTGATCTGAGGCGACTTTTTATTCTTGTATAAATCCAGAGTGAACCACCAAACAGTTGTTCGTTTAAAGTCAAGGTAATTTTCTTTTGACGGGTCCATTTGCTTCTGATTTCTAATTTATTAGCCTCTCTTCTCAAGTCTCTGTCTTCTTTGCAGTTAAAGTAAAGCTTCTTCAGATTAGCGCCGCAGCATTCACTTGACAGGTTGTTTGGAAAATTTAAGATCGGAGAGATGATTTGTTGGGGTTTTAAATTTTTTTCTGGTTTTAAGTAGTATGTCTCCTTTCCTTGCAGGGGGAGAAAAACACCTCTCGGTAGGGAATGGATGTAGTGAGACAGAAGGGGAGGGGCGTGCTGGGTGCCTTGTTGATCCTTGTACCCATCAGCCTTCGACCTTTCCGCTTTTTTCCAACGAGCTTTTTACTCCCAGCCTCGTCTTTCCACCTCCCCGCCAGAACTAAGAGCCGGATCGTCTTGGGCCGGGCCGGAGCAGAATTCCCGGGAGCCGGCGGGTGTAGACTCTGCGGGCGCACCAAGGTATTAGCCCGGCCCCGCACATCTGATAGGTGCAGACAGGATGGGCCCGCCGTCACGGCTCGGGGGCTCCTGATTGGTGTGGAGCCACGTCACTCCAGCCGGCGAAGGGTCTGGGAGGAGGCGGAGGCGGGGAGGGTCGGGGAGGGCTGGGGAGGGCAGCGGCCGAGTGACGTCTCGGCACCAGGAAGCCCGCCTCTGGTTTTAAGATGTTAGGCCAACAGGGAAGCTTGGAGCCGCAGAACTGGTCCGTCGCTCGTCCGGGTGTTGGGAGCTGAGCTGCGACGAGGCCGGGCTCGAGCTCTACTGCCCGAGGGGGTGTGCGTGTGAGCACCGCGGAGGGTGCGCCCAGAGGCCCGCGCCGCTGCCGCCGCCGCCGCCACGGGAGATCTAATATCAGCTACCTGTCCCTGTCACTCTTGACACTTCGCCGTCAGGGCTGCCGTGCGGGGGGCGGGCAGAGCGCGAACGGCGTTAGCTTTCCTTATTGGAGGGGTACGAGGGGGAGGGAGGGAGGGAAGAAAGGGGTCTTTGCCCACTCTTGTTTCGCTTTGGAGCTTGGAAGCTTGCTCCCCAAAGACGCTCCGAACCATTCTCTCCTACCCACATCCCAATGTCTCTACATTGACCCGCTGACTTTCGGCCGCTGGATCCTTTCGCTTGAGCCTACGGAAGGAGTCGGGGGGCGGTTCGGCTCCAGGACTCCGCGCGGGTTGTGTTCCCGGCTCTGCCCGCGGCGGCCCCCGCGAGGAAACTCCGCGCCTGGAGCGGGAAGCGGAGCAGGCGGCTGCGGCGGCCACGGGTCTTCGGCGGGGCAGCAACCCAGGACTCGTAGGGCGGCGCGCTCCTTCGTCCATGACCTGCATGAAAGGCCCGCTGCACTTGGAGCACCGAGCAGCAGGGACCAAGCTCTTGGCCACCTCCGCGTCCTCCTCCTGTCACCATCCTCAGCCGCTGGCCATGGCTTCGGTCCTGGCTCCCGGTCAGGCCCGCGCCCTGGACTCTTCCAAGCACCGGCTGGAGGTGCACACCATCTCTGACACCCCCAGCCCCGAGGCCGCAGGTAAGGCGCCGCGCGGCCCCGAGGAAGTCGACCCCTCCTGGGGGAGGCGTGGTGGGAGTGGTCGTTCGGCTCGCTCTCCGCAGGACTTCCGGAGCCAGGGTTGTCTGTATCCCGCGTCCCTTCGCTCTGCATTGACTGCCCGGCTGCGGTGGCGCGAACCATGCGAGTCGTCCTGCACCGCCCCTCCCCCCACCACGACCCTGACCTCCCTTCCTTTTTCTGGGTCACAAAAATCCCAGCATCTCCGTTCCAGACCTTCAGAGGCCACCTTCCCGCCGCCCTCCCCGACCCTTACGCGGTCCTTGTTCTGCCCTCGGCTTTCAGCTCTCAAGAATCTCCGCTTGTTAGAAAAATAGTTGTGAAACTACGCCTCAGAACAACAGGCGTGTTTGGTTTTTTTTTTCTTCTTCTTCTAAAGGGTAGAGGAGCTTGGGTGCGTCTCCGAATCCCAAAGCGTACTTTTCCTAGCCTTTGGAAACAGCATCGATATCTGAGCTTTCTATCAGGGGGAGTTCTGTAAAACACGCGCGTGTGGGTGCCCCGAGAGGTTTGATGTGTCCGCGCAGAAGCGCATAAATACACTTGAAAGCACAGGCTATAAAAATGAATGTGCCGTCGCAGTGAGATAAACATGTAAATAAAAGGTGCGGCGCTGGGGGAGGGGAGGAGATGGGGCGCGCACAGCCACACTCACGTCTGCACACCCCGCAGACGCAGCGCTTTCCGTGGCCGGAGCGGCGGCTGGCACACTCCTCCCCCGCCAGACAGCCCGGCTCTGCACTCTGCCGCCTGCTCCAGTTGGCGTTGGCGGGCAGCAGGTGGGCATGCTGACGGGGGCTTCTGTGTTTCGTTTTCAGAGAAAGATAAGAGCCAGCAGGGAAAGAATGAGGACGTGGGAGCCGAAGACCCGTCCAAGAAGAAGAGGCAAAGGCGGCAGCGGACTCACTTCACCAGCCAGCAGCTGCAGGAACTGGAGGCCACTTTCCAGAGGAACCGCTACCCGGACATGTCCACGCGCGAAGAAATCGCAGTGTGGACCAACCTAACGGAAGCGCGAGTCCGGGTAGGAGCCCGCGCGGAGCCGGGGAGGGCGTTGCTGGGACGCCGGCCTGTAGATCAGGAGGGAGGGCGAAAGGCAGAGCCGACCGGAGGGCTCGGGTGGGTGCCTTTTCAAAGGCGGAAGGCCTCGCAGCGGCCCCAGTTACGAGGTCACAGCTCCCCCTTCCGAGAACAGCCGCGGGCCCAGAGCAGGCGCCGGGAGCGGCCCCGGCTCACCGCCCCACCACACAGCGCGCTCCCAAACGGGGCCGCGTGCATTCCGCTGCACAGGGCATTGTGTTCCCGGCTTGCATTCGCCAGAAGAGCGCTAATAAAATCCCTCCCAGGCCAGGAGCTGAGGACAGGCTCCGACCTGCGCGTTTAACAAGGAAAACCCGCCTGAGACACGCAAGGGTTGGCCCTCCCTGGAAAACTTTAGCGCCCGGCCCAGCCAGGCCTTTTCTTTACTCGGCTCACCCTCATCACAAGGTCTTTGCGGTTTTTCTGCCACTCAGTTCTCTCCCACACCCTATCCTCTGGTTTTGTGATCTGCGGAAGCAGTTTTAATACACAACTGCTATCCTGCCAGTCGTCTTAGAAAGAAAGGAAAAAAGAAGAAAGACTTTTCTATTTGGTTTATTTATCTTCTCTCAGGAGACTGTTACTCACACCCTTCCTCCCAATTATAATAGTTTTATTAAAGAAAAGGCTTACCTTTGTAGCAAATCTGTACTTAATGAATTGGCATAAATGAACTTAAATAAATTACACGGTAGCAATATACTGGTTTGTGCTGGTCGGTGGAAAACTCCAAGTTTGTTAGGGTTCTGGAAGTAGAAAACACATAGCAGGATCCAGAGGTTTTGCTGTTAAAAAAAAAAAAAAAGGCTCTGGATGGAAAAAGAGCCCCCAGTTAGAACCGAGAAAGCACTGTATAGCACTAATGATGAAAAGAATAAAGACCAAAATGCGCTCCCAAGGCAGAGAGAAGAAGGCACTCTCTGAGTGGCATCTGTGTAGGGAATGAGGCTAAGCTAGTGGATAAAGGAACCAGGATGAAGTTGGAAATGGTTTTAGTTTAACAGCGCAGACCTATGTTCAGGCCCGGGCCGCGTGGTTTTTGCACAAGGTCAGCTTCTCGTTAGCTCTCCTGCGCTCCTGGGGAACGGGCCTCGCACGTACTCTTCTCGCCTGGGCAAAGTTTAGGCGGCCAGGGTAGAAAAGGCAAGTAATTTAAATGAAAACAATCTATGGGGTCTCCGGAACCCTTCGGAAAAGCCCTACCCCACCCTCTTCGGCTTTTCAGCCGTCCCTCGCTAGTCCCCTGCCGCCGCCGCGCTGGGCTCTCGCTCCCTCCGCCTGCCTCCTTCCAGGCCCGCTGCTTGTCCAGCCAAGTGGGGAATGAAGCTTGCTTTTTATAGCTGTCGGGTGCAAAGAGCAAGGGGGATAAAGAGGAAATCGAGAATGAAAAGGAAAAAGAAAAAAAAAAAGCGGATTAGGCGTTTGGGCCTGGCTGAGATGTGTAATGTGAAACATCACCGGTGTCAGCTCGGAAATCTCGGGCCAGGCCTCGCTCCAATACACAAAAGCCGCCGTCTGGGGCGACGAGCGGGCCCGATGTGGATTGAGGACGGGGTTGCGTCTGGGCCATTGGAGGCGGGTGGGGGCTGGCCGGGCTGGGCGACCGCCCGCAAAGCCCTGTAACTAGGCCGGGCCGGGAGCAGCGCCGGGCGCGCGCGGGCCTGGCCTGGGTGGGCGGAGAGTGTGAAAGAGCGGAGCGAGGGGTGGGGAAGGCTGTAGAAGCGCAGGGTTCCCGGAGATTTACACGCCAAACTCATGGAGTTTAATGAGCTGTCGGGAAGGTGGGCTTTTGCTTTTTATTTGGTTCTTTTGGCTAGGCGAGGAAGGGGGTCGTGGCCGGGCGCCTGATGAGGGCGCTCGTTCTGTGAAGTAGCGGGGCGGCAGTGAAGATCCGAGAGGGGAGGAGGGCTTGTGGGAGAGAGCGCGGGCCTCCCAGCCCCTTGTCCTCGTCCCTGGGTCTGTGGCTTTGAAATGCAAGCAAGTTTGCAAGGTGGCCGGGGAAGGGTTGGGCAGAGAGCCCGCTGCTCCGCATTCATTTTGCAGTAAGTGTTTTTGGCCCCTGAGGAGGACCGGGGTTAGTGAACACGCCACCCGCAGGCCGCCGGGCGTTGGGCTGGGGTTTGTGGCGCGGCTCTGAGCCCGGACTCGCAAGCCTGAACTGATCAGGGCCTCTTCGTTGGGACGGGGCTCTGGCAGCTTGGGGCGCGGGGCAGGGGAGGACGGCTGGGGAAAATTGTGGCGGCGAGAGTGTACACTTATGTGTCGGAGGTGGGGATTGCTAGTGCTTTCCGGGATCAAGGTTTTACTAATCCGATCTGTGGCGTCTGTTCACTCCTTGCCCTCCATCCCCAGGTTTGGTTCAAAAATCGCCGGGCCAAATGGAGAAAGCGGGAGCGCAACCAGCAGGCCGAGCTGTGCAAAAATGGCTTTGGGCCGCAGTTCAACGGGCTTATGCAGCCCTACGACGACATGTACCCGGGATATTCGTACAATAACTGGGCCGCAAAGGGCCTCACTTCGGCCTCCCTGTCCACCAAGAGCTTCCCTTTCTTCAACTCTATGAACGTCAACCCCCTGTCGTCGCAGAGCATGTTCTCCCCGCCCAATTCCATCTCGTCCATGAGCATGTCGTCCAGTATGGTACCCTCAGCGGTGACCGGCGTCCCGGGCTCCAGCCTCAACAGCCTGAATAACTTGAACAACTTGAGCAGCCCTTCGCTGAATTCCGCGGTACCGACGCCCGCCTGCCCTTACGCGCCGCCGACTCCTCCGTACGTTTATAGGGACACGTGTAACTCGAGCCTGGCCAGCCTGAGACTGAAAGCAAAGCAGCACTCCAGCTTCGGCTACGCCAGCGTGCAGAACCCGGCATCCAACCTGAGTGCTTGCCAGTACGCCGTGGACAGGCCCGTGTGAGCCGCGCCCCACTGCACGGGGATCCTAGGACCGTGGACGGGGCAGCTCTGCCCTTGAAAGAGTGGGAATTATGCTAGAAGGTCGTGGGCACTAAAAAAAGAAAGGGAGAGAGAGAAGATATAGGGAGAAAAGGAAACCACTGAATTAAAGAGAGTTCCTTTGATTTCAAAGGAACTTTCTCAACGTCTGACATCTTTCACTAAAAGTATTTCCAACAGTTGCGAGGACACACAAATGTTTGACTGGATATGACATTTTAACATTACTATAAGCTTGTTATTTTTTAAGTTTAGCATTGTTAACATTAAAATGACTGAAAGGATGTATATATATCGAAATGTCAAATTAATTTTATAAAAAGCAGTTGTTAGTAATATCACAACAGTGTTTTTAAAGGTTAGGCTTTAAAATAAAGCATGTTATACAGAAGCGATTAGGATTTTTCGCTTGCGAGCAAAGGAATGTATATACTAAATGCCACACTGTATGTTTCTAACATATTATTATTATAAAAAATGTGTGAATATCAGTTTTAGAATAGTTTCTCTGGTGGATGCAATGATGTTTCTGAAACTGCTATGTACAACCTACCCTGTGTATAACATTTCGTACAATATTATTGTTTTACTTTTCAGCAAATATGAAAAAAAATGTGTTTTATTTCATGGGAGTAAAATATACTGCATACAAATTGGTCTGGATTCTTTCTGCCCTCCTCTGTTGCCTGGCCAGGGTTTCTCAGTCACTACTTCCTAAACAAACCAGTTCCCTCTGCCTACCTAGTTAAATACACAAGGCAGCAGTACTTATTTAAATTTGGTAGAAATAAATTACAGTCATTCATCAGAAACTCAAAAAAGAGGCACTCAGAAAAAAAAAAAAAAAGCTGCAAAGTCTGTTCTTCTCTCCCAGATTTTTCTTTGGCTTAAACCCAAGGGATTCCATTATTGCTAGCTAGCAAATAATAGAAGAGAGAAAGAAGAAAGGAGAAAGAAATGTAGAAAGTACCTTAGCTTGGAATGACTCTCAGCTTTGCTCCTTTGGGGAGGGAGCCAGCACACCCAGTAAATTGTTCTGGAGAAGTATGTGTGTATGTATACATGTACAGTTCATATACATTCCTCTCAAGAGGAATAGGTCTATAAGTTTACAGGGAAACACCTCCAGTTCAAAATATTTAGGCCTCCACGTTTATCTTTCAGGCTTAAGTAGAGAGATTCTTCATGTTATATTACATTACTATTTCCAAATCCTTTTGAGACATAAAAAGAAACAAAGCCCATTTCTAATAACCACAGCCCTTTAGTTTCTCAAAGAGCCCAGGGGTTGAGAGGTTAGAGTGGAGTTTCCTGAGTCTTGTCGAGCAATATGTAGTTGAGGCAAAGGTCATGCTCCCCGTGTTTTGTTTTAAATAATATTGACCCATTAATTCTAAACCTGCTTGTTCCTGAAATTATACAGGATTATAGTTTGCAAACTGCGGGACAATGAAGCAAATCAAGATGAATTACAGCCCTGGCCCTCCCTCCCATCCTCTGACATCTAAACAGGGAATGAGGTCGGTGTGTTTAAAAGAGCATTAAGTACCCACTCTTCTTTTGTTGGTGATTTTCAGCATTTTTTTTTTTAATGTGAAATTTAATTTTGTCACAAATAGTAGCAAATACGACTTAGTCCCAAAGACTTCATAACCGTGGCGCAAGAGAGGTCGGTGTATTAGGGGCGGGGGGTTGGGGGGCAAGTTCTGAGGTCTTTGCTCTTCGAATCACCGCCCCTCCTGCCCCCGCGGTGGGCGACGACGACAAACATCACCCTGGGGAATCCGAAGCGAAAAGTAGCCGCCTGTTTTCTGGGGCCGAGAAAACCTGTGTTTTTGCGCTTAGGTTGCTTTTATCTGACCGAGACTCTACCTATAAGCTTTTGGAGCTCAGACACCGAGTCTTTGTTCTGCATGCGACTGGTGCTGCCACTTAAAGAGATCGCAGATAATGTCCCCGATTTAAGATCAGTGCTTAATGCACATTAACTTTCTTTTTTAAGCTCTGCCTCCGACCTGCGGAGGGATCACGCGGCAGTGGGGGGCAGATAAAAGCCCTTTGGACGAGGTTCACCGCCGTCCTTGTTGTTCACTTGGGAGCAGTGGAGAGGAAAACGGTCCCCACGGGCGGACTTTGGCTTCTGGAGCCGCGGTCCCGTCGGTCTCAGCCTCACGCAGCCTCCGCCGGGCTCGGGGGCGGGGGCGGGGCGGCGGGGGAGGGGCCGGAGCGGGGATTTGGGGCTGGGGGGCTGGATGCGCTGACGAGACCTGCTGGGAGGATTGGCGTCTGCAGGCCCTAGAGTGACTTGGGAGCTCGGGGTGAGGAGGTGGATCTCGGCCTAGTCGGCTTGTGCTGAAACAGAACTCTTATTTCGAGGAAATCAATCAATCCGCAGGAAACAAAAATGGAAGTCGAGGTTGGGGAAGACTTGTCACTTCCCCGACTTGAGTGGTGCGGGCTGGGGGCGGAGACTTGGGAGACTGAAGAGAGGCCTTACTCCCACCTCAGCGCCTTTCCCAGGACTCCCAGAAGGGAGAATGACCCTCCTCACCTCCCTTTCCCAACCCACCCTGGCTCGCCTTTCAGCCCCTTTCTGCACCTCCTTTTCCCTTGAAGTGAGAAAAGCCTAGTTCCCGAGCTGCCGGAGTCGGTTTCCTCGCCCCTCCCGCTTCCACGCGGGTCCCCCCCCTCCCCGCCCCCGCCATCGTTACTGCCACCACCTCGGTTCCACTCAATCGATTTTTGCTGCAGGTCAACATTTATCACCGGTGAGTGTGAGGGTATTTTTTTCTCCTTCTCTAGGTCTCTTAATGATTTCTGAGCTAGTTGTGTATTAAAGTGCTTAAAGGAACCTTTAACGTAATCTATAGCATGAACACCAGCCTCCTCCTCTTGGGATCAAAGATGGCGAGCTGGAGGTCGGGGCCCCCAGGAGCCCAGGCATCCCGAGCCTTCAGCCCTGGTCGCCCTTCTCTGGGCCCCTGAGTCTGGGGAGGGCTGGGGCAGGAACCCCGCGCAGACAGTTCGCGGTCCAGGGGCTTTTCCTTCCCGCCCCCTCACCTGTTACTCTAATCCTTTCTCTGGATTCACCTTTTTTAAACTTAAATTTTTAAGGCCCCAAACTCTTCTTCTCCCTAATACTGAATTCAAATTGGTGGAGACCTGGGAAAAGGTAGATAGAGCCCACATTTGTTTCAATTTCCCCCCACTTCCTAAATCTGAGTTTTACGGCCCACAGCATGATTAGAAATTTAATTTTAAAAAATACGTTGTGCAGCCTGGGCCCTGTAGCCGGTTTGGTTAGGAGGCTCATCCTCCCCTTTTCCTCCTGGCCCTGTTCTTTCTCCCACCCCCACCCTCTTCCTGCGAGGTGCTGAAACCCGGGAGTCACTTTAGGAGAACCAAAAAAAAAAAAAAAATTAATGGGGGAAAAAAAAAAGAGTCTTAAAAGTCCCAATATTCCTCGAAAGCCCCATAAATTAACCCTAGGGAAGAGCGGCGAGTTCTTTTAAAGCTAGTCTATAAAAATCTAGCGCGATCTCGAAGGAGAATGACCCTCCCCCGCACCCCCGTCGAGAATGAGACCAAACAAAGGTCTGTCCTGCAATCCACACCCTAATCCACGGGCGCCCTCGCCGCCGTCGCCAGGGCTCCCCAGCCTCCGGCCGCTCACAGAAGCTGCAAAACTGGAAGTCCCCGGCTCGCTGCTTAAATTTTTGAGAGGAATGAAAAATAAAGGGGGGTGGGGGGTGTAATCAGATCAGAGGCATTTATGAATATAGAGTCCCCATTGATTGTCTAATAAAACCCCTTTGCAAGCTGCAGTTAATCTGAGCACAAGGAGCACAGCCAGAATCGTGGCTGATGGAGGAAAGAGAGGTCTGGAAGTAAACGGGAGAAATTTCTTATAGCAGATTTTCAGAAGGAAATTTTAAAAGCTCTCCTTTCTCTCCTAGCCTTCCTAATCTGAAAGTTGCATTTTAACTGAAATTGAAAAAAAAAAAAATTGAAGATGAGATTTTTCTAAAAAAATGGGTTGCGAGGAAATCCGATTTTAGACACATTCCTAATTTACTTTTTCAGGTTTTTACTTTGATCTTAAGTTTATTTATCACTGGCCCCACCCCACCCCTAAAAGGAGTACTTCTCATTGTCTTTCTAACTGAAAAGATAAAAAACAGAATTTATTGTGCATGGGATGCATAACTCCATTCACTTCCGTGCTGAGCATTTTATGCATTTTATATAAATGTTGGTTTTAGATTTTGTTTGAAGATTAGAGAAGGCCTGGAAGAAATAAAATAGCCCATTAAAGATGTATCTAATTCTACTTAATTACCTTTTTAAAAAATAATTGCTACTCTTGTTGTAACAGTGCGCTCTTAACAATTCAATGGCAGTTGTAGAAAACAGGAGGTAGTGGAAACTAAAGTTACTCAGTCAAAGAATGATTGAAAGAACCATCTCCTTTTAAAAGAAAAAATTTAAAAACATTAATGAGTATACGGTAAAGGTGTTTACTTTTAGGGGGCTGGGTGGGGAGCTGCATTTTCTTTCTCCTCTCAGAAGGGCTAAGAGAAGTTCAGACTCACTGGGCCCTCCCTGAGCAGGGTGTGTATCACCATCCCCTGACATTGATGGATCTCTCCTGAGCTATTTCTCCTATTCTGTTGTTCCTGCAAAAATGTTTAAGGTGTTTGCCCCACCCCTTGCTTTCTATCTTTTTCTCCCCCTATCTTTTCCCTCTTCTGTTTTCTTTATCCACTCCAAAGTGGGTTTTTTGTTTATATGCTTGCTTGCTTGTTCTCTTAACAACTTAGAAAATGACCCGCTCACTTGTACCAGGACTAAGGCTTGGGGTAGTTTCCTTTGAGCTCCGAGACTCTCTCTTCCAATGCTTCCTCTGTCCAGGAGCAGCGAAGTCTTTCTGACTCCTCGAATAATTTGCAGCAGTCCCCCCTGCAGGCAGTCCTGGGCAGGAACCTTTGTCTTCGTTCCTTTGGGGAGATGAGACCTGGAGTCATTTGTGCTGTCCCCGAAAAGTCGGTGGAACAGCATATGGAACGTGACTGGGAACCACGACTAATGGTAACCTAGTTTGGGGGCACTTTCTCCGTTCTGCTTAGTATCAACAACCCAGCCCACTCAACCCTGCTTCTCTGGGCGGATATCTGGGTGGGCTTACTGCACCCAGATGAAACTTGATGGCATCTTTCTCGGTCCTCCCGGATGAACTGGCACAGCCTTCTCCAGTGTCACTTCACGCGGCCGCCTGTGTTGGATGGACCGTGAGTCTGACTGATGCACCCCTGCATGTGGGCACGGCAGAGGTGGAGACCCTGCCGGCTGTCCCCAGCGCCACAGAAAGGGATTTGCCAACTGCCAGAGCCCAGGGCGACAGACGACAGGTCACTTTGTTAGGAAATAAGATAATATCCAACAAAAGAAAGTAAAAGAAAACCCTTCTTAGGCGGGCGCTGGGCCTCCGGGCGATGTTCATTCACAGTGCTCTCCTAACCTCAATGCCTCCACCCCAGCCTAAAACCCGTGAACTCATAGGAGCCACTCTTATCTGATGAGGCAGGATCTGGTTTGTCAGATTCTCCGACAGGGGCGAAAAACTCCCGTCTGCAAATTCAGGGCTGCGGCTCCCGGCGCGAAGCTCCCCTCCCCAGCCCGGAGCCTGCTTGCCTCGTGCAGCCCCGCCGGCCTGTCAAGCGCCCCGCGCCCGGAGTGCCAGCCTGGACAGCTGCCCCGGGCGTTCTGGACCCCTGGATTCTGCAGGCCCAGCCCTGCGGGGGACCCGCGGAGCCGCCGCTCCACCTGAACGTGCGCCCGGCGGGGCGGCACCCTGGGCCTCCCTGGCCGCCCGAACTGTGGCTCCGGCACCACTTTCTATTGACCACAACAGCTGCTTTATCTTGATGTTCCATTTTTTTGGCCGGCGACGTGGGAGAAGGGCGGTGGCCAGACGTGCCGCCTCGCATGACCCTGACGGTATTTTCAGAGGCACCCGGAGAAGCGGCTGCCCAGAGGGCAACCTACGCACCTCCGGGGACTCTTCCCGGGTCCCTCCGGACAACAAAACCGGAATCTAATCCGCAGCTGCCGCCGCCCCCTCCCCCCGCCGCCTCCCGCGGCATGCCTAGCCTGCCTGCCGCCCCGGGCGAGCGTCGGACCCGGGCGGCCCGGGCGCCACAGCTTGCCCTCAGAGTCCCGCTGGGCCGAAGCGCCCGCCGCCCCAGCACGCGCCGCTCAGGGCCTGGGCGGCGGCGTCGTGGGCGGTCGGGGCCCGGCCAGGGCGCGGCCTCCCGGCTGCGCTTCCATGGACGCGCGCTGGGCTCTGACCGCGGATCCGCCTGCTTCTCTGCCCTCTGGGAGTCGGCTTAGGGAGGCCCTGGCTGGAGGAGAGCCCCCCACCCCCACCCCGCCACACCGCATCCCCCTCACCCTCTCTGGGGCTTCTTCGCCTTCGCTCCCAAGCGGCCATATACCTTGAATGGGTCTTCCCTGGCTGCCTCCCTCCAAGCTGCCCCTCGAAGCCCGGGATTGAACATTAACCAGTCGGAGCTATAGAGTGGGGTAAAACATTACGTATAAAAATGAATCATCTATCCGATCCTGGGAGAGAGAACCTATAGAGAGCTCGGCGTCTAGTGCTGCCTCGGCCATGTTACCGGTCCGACGCACCGACCCTCCTGGCGGCCACTTCCCCAAGGACCGCTGCCGGCGGCCTGGGTCTAGTGGGGGCTGCAGGGCTCAGAGTTCCCGGGTCAGTCTTTCTCTGTGAGGAGCCCAGTGTCTACACCTTCTAACGCAAGCTCACGTCCTTTCCTCCCACACTCAAGGTACACAGAAAGGTCTGGAACAGTTTTTTTCTCTCTTCCAAAGGTTAGTGGGAGCAGCTACGGTTCCGGGAGCAGCTACGGTTCCAGTAGGAGCCGCCACCCAAGGGATCTGGCCAGCCCAGGCTGAGCGGTTGATTCCGGAGATCAAGCCCCAGCTCCGGCGCCTCCAGGTGGACCCCGGGAGGCAGGGCTGGGTGCGCAGGGAGCTGAGCGGGAGCCGGGCCCGAGCGGAGGCGTGCAGTGGGCGGCGCAAGGGGCGGGTGTCCGGGTCCCCAGTCTTGAGCCCGCGCAAGCCCTGGCCAGAGGTTTCGGGCTGAAATCCCAAGTTCAGGTCCCACCCCAAGCCGCACTCGCCCGGTCCTGCCTTTTTCCTACTCAGACCTCTTGTTTCTTTCGACATAAATGATAGAAAGTTACAAGGGTACTGACTTGCGTGTTAGATCCATGTGCCCAGTCCAATATACAGAACTTACAAGAAGATAACAAGAGCTGGAGAAGCAGTGCACCTCCTGAGTTCTTGTGCCCTCACCTGAAAACGTTAGCAAATCCCTGAATGCAAAGGTGATTCCCTTTCTGTATGTCTGTCTCTGCCTCTCTGACTCCTTCTTTCCCTCTTCCCCCATTCAAGGAAAGAGATAAAGTGGGTACAAACAGGAGAAAGATGTGATGTTACAAAAGCTTTCAGGAATCGCCAACCAACGTGCACAACAGTTCTTGAACCTCTTAATAAGATTGGTTTATTTCTATGTAAAATAGATGCTTTACTCAAAATAGAGTGCCTGACCCATAATAACCTCTCAGAAAATATTTTTTGAACAGGTAAACTTCCCTCCCCTCCCCACCTCCACCGTATCAGCTCATGATTTTTACTGAGAGCATTCACCCAAATCTTTGTGTTTGGGTGTGTGATAAAGTGGCAGTGGTGGTTTGGATGTCTGGGGTGAACTCTGCATCATTCCATTACTCTCATGGTCATGTCCTAGCTTCTTGAAAGGCCACTGCTTCTCCTTCAGTGTGTTCATAGTGATCCCGAGAGTTTCCAGGGATGGGGGAGAGTGGCAGCTGAGACATTGGTGAACAAGGTTTTTCAGAGTCAGCAGGCATCAAGCATGTGGGAGTATTATTATGTGTACCTATTAGTTGGGTACTAATCAGTTCCAGAAGAAATGGCTTTGAATTTAAGATGCGGATGCAGGATGTCCATTGCCTCATGCAGTGTCACAGCTCTAACTTCAGTGCACATGACATTCTTTGTGATGCCCATCGAGCAATACAGCTCACTTTATCATCACCCAGCTTTGTGTTACTCCTCTTCCCCCAAGAAAAAGAGAATTAACTCAAATGTTCTAGCCATTAGCTTCCCAGAGAGAATGAACAGATCAAAGGAAATGAATTTTTTAAAAGGTAGGAATCATACTCAATTGCCCTCTAGTGACTTGGAGATACAGAGAAACATAGATGGATAAAGGACATTTATTGATACTTTAAAAGATGCGTATGGTTGGGGAAAGGGGTATCGCTGTGCTCCAACTGTCTCCTCCCTCACCAAATTACCATGTTATCTGACACCCTCAATCTATTTGTGTCCTGGGTAACAGACAGTTTGACCAAGAGGTCATAGACTACAGGGCTTGGGTGATTGGATACAAGTTTGACAAGAAAGGAATCTGGGTGAGGGCCACAGTGATGGCAGAGAGAAGATGAGGCCACAGTGGCTGGAGCAGCCTGGCAGCACCAAATCTCTGCTGGGCCTTGCATCAAGGGCAGTGCTTTGTCAGAGAACAGGGAAGTAGGGAGAGCTAACAATACAACCTCATCCATGGAATTTCAGCACCTCTCCACATCCCTTTCTTTGCCTTCCTATTATTTCCTGCCTTCTTCATGTATTCCTTTTTTGCTCTGGAGCCTCTCCGCAGAATTCTAGCTGCTACTGGAGTAAGTATCCTCTGCTTGTCCCCATTTGAATTAAGGCTTTAGATTGTTTGTAGTAGTTACTCTTCCAGATAGGAAATGTTTTATTTAATTGAGAATCTTCTTGTAAACCATTTGTATTTATAAATATGGAGTGCTTGGATAAACAGTTAATATGTCAGAACCAATAGGTAAAGCACGCGATGTGAGTCTGTCTTTTCCTAGCTTCAGAGGCACTGTGCATATTCTTTTAAAAAGCCGCATTGCATCCTGGGTATCCTGGAAGGTTCAGTGAGCACACTCCTTTCATCCCAGGCAGCATTAACCTTAGCATTATGACTACCAAAGTAGTAAATCTCAATCCAGTTTACTATTCTCATTCTGGAAGTACCTTCTCTGCCTTAAACTATCACTTGTGGGTTTGTACACATTGTAAAAATTATACATTGCAGGAGAAAACATAATAGTCCTGTGTAGAGTTTATATGCTAATGTGAGTTCTCTGAATTTTTCCACTTAAAAAAGCATTTAATTTTCTTGTGTTATATCCTATTGTTATTATCTTGGCAGTATTTGTGCTGCAAAAGATGCTTAGCAGTATTTTTTTTAAAATAGTAGTGTGTATATGTTAATCCCAAACTCCTAATTTATCCCCGACTTTCTCCTGTGGTAACCATAAGTTTGTTGTCTATGCCTGTGGTTCTACTTCCGTTTTGTAAATTAGTTCCTTTGTATCACTTTTTTTTAGACCCCACATACAAGCAATATCTCGTGACTTTTTGTCTTTCTCTGTCTGGCTTACCTCACTTAGTCTGACAAACTCTAGTCCATCCATGTTACTGCAAATGGCATTATTTCATTATTTTTATGGCTGAGTAATATTCCATTGTAGAAAACTATTTTTTTCCCCATATTATGCCTCTGTCAATACTATGTGGGATGTTTTAATGTGAGTTAAGATTTCAGGGGTCATTTTCTTTTAAACTTTTTGTGGGAGGCTGGCCTAGTACTTGCTATATAGTAGATGTTCAATAAATGCAAACTGATCAAACAGTATAATTAAAACTTTGTTCACCAAATTAAAGTTCAAAGATATTAAAATGTTAAATTGTCATAAATTAAATCTCAGACTAATTCTAATTGATCTCTAATCTTTTCTCAACAAATCAAATATGTAAAGGAATTCTATAGAAGAAATTTCATCTTAATCTTTTTTTATCATCACTACTATCATATTTATGTCGGCATTTTTAGGATGATGATGAATCATATATTTCTTACCAGGGTTCATAAGATACTTTAATGTAATGTTTAATGTATATATTTTAATGTTTCATATATAATTATTAAAATTAAAAATTAAAAAATATATAGCTTGGGACATGTGTGTGGTGATGGAGACAGAAAGGAGATGTATGTGTGAGTGTGGAGGGGTCTATGGAGACGCACAGATGACAAAATTTTCCAGCTTACAATGTCAAAACCTAGGATCACTTTACTAGTAAAGAGATTATGATCTCCAGCTCTCACAATTATTTTATACTTTTACCAGTTTCACTATTCACAAATATACAGTAAAATTCAACGCATCAAAATATACTTGGAATAAATTGTTTTTTCACTTTTATAGTAAGAGATGAAATTTGAGAAGTTAAGAATGTTAGTTGACCTAAAAACAACAAAAAAGTGTTAACCCAATTAGACACTGATTAAAGACATAAGTTAAACAAACCATAGCTATTTTTATCTCTGTTAATTGTTGCCCAGTAAGCTTCAAATATTTTTTATTAGTTTATTGGTGACAAAATATCCCTTAGATCACTTATCCCATCCACTCCCACTTTCCAGCTGCTACTGTAAAAAATAAACATGCTTTAGTATATCAATGGGAGAGTGGCATTGCTTTTGATAAGACACTTCTGAAGCACTTAATATTATTTATTATACCAAAAAATACATGTTTTGCCTTATCATGCCAAATAAATGAACAAATACATACATGAACAAACAAGTAAAGGTAAAGATTGGACTGGTAGGGAGTTACAGTGAACTTGGCTTTGCAGTGCCTGTAGAGTTTTCAAAGACCCCAGTTTCTCCTGGAGAATCACTAGCCCTGGCCTGGCTGTTTCTTAGAAGGCACCCTAAGGAGGGTTAGATCACTGAGGATTAAAAAATCAAGAAGGAGGATGATTGGGAACTTACAAAATGTGATAGAGTAGACAAATATCTCTGATTGGTCCAGGCACTATAAGCATCATTTAAAAAAAAAAAAAAACTATCTACACACTCATAAAATAATGGGCCAACATTATCTTGATAGCAGTCTACATACATGTTTACCATTGTATTTTGATCTTATTTTACTAGAAGTTTTTCTAAATGTATATAAAGAGTGATACAGAAGATCTGAATTATTGAGTTCTTTCTCTGAGTCACTGAGCAATATGATTTTCATATATTATCTCAATCAGTTCTCACAACAACCCTATAAATTAGGTACTATTACTTTCTTATTTGACAGATGAGAAAAATTAAGCTCAAAAGTAACTTGCCTCAGGCTACCTGGTTAATGAATGGCAGAATTCTTAGAACAGGACTCAAATCAGGCACAATCTGACAAGAGGCTGGTTCT